TCCGACAGCTTTTACTTTGTGGACAACAAGCTGATCATGCACAACAAGGCGGACTATGCCTACAACGGTGGCCAGTAAACCCTGGTGCTGCACAACACACAATGCACATCACACGGACACTCGCGGATACCCACGGAAACAGGAAATACACACACGCGCTCGTGGGGATGCGAATCATGCACGTGAACATGTTAACGTTCGCTTAAAAATCACTCTGACGCATGAAGCACATCCATGATGCGCGCCCGTAGCGACATGAAATACGGCACATGTCCACTCGTACAAGCATCTGCCGGAGAGGCTGCAAGGATCTACAGGCCTCACAGTAGTGTGCATTGATGGTATATGACGATCAGGAATGTGCGACTAGCTTGGCTGGCCACAACCCACCCGCGTATAGAACAGCGTTACGAAACTCTTATCGGGTCACTTTGCAACCATGGGGGGGGGACTGGGTTTTGTGGCAAGTGTGGGAACGTCCCCCGCCTCAGTGTGTGTGCAGCCTGTGCTGCTCAGCTGTTGGGTTTTGTATTCTCCGCCCATCTCTCTTGCGCTCTTTACACGGCTGGCTGTTGGCGCCGCCAGCGGCACGTCTGGGGAATAATCAAAGAGGGCGTTTGCACTCGGCACGTGGCTGCATTAACGTAGCACCCTCACCTCTTAATGTTCTCCACTTAAAAGAGGGGGAGCGTTTTTTTTTTTAAACAGGCTTGTTGAAAATTTACATCACAATTATTCTCTTTGATAAATACCACGAATTCTGTAATGACGTCACGAAGAGAGAGAAAAAAAGACATTGGCGGGCGAGAGGAGCTGCTGGTTTGGTGGGTGGCGCTAGGCCACAGGTCACACCAAGGGAGATCTCACAAGACTCCATTTGGAAAGTTGAGGCGCCTCGAACATCCCACCACCCGATATTTTGTCACAGACACTCAACACCGCATCACTGCTAAGATACAAACGGCATCCTCTGTTCCAAGGACAACTTGCTCACCGCAGTCCTTGTTAAGTTTGGCAGACTTCAGGGTGGCGAAGTGTAGGCAATGTGTAGCTTTCCTGGCCAATGAGCTGATCGGACAGTGTGTATTGTACAGTTCTCCTTTAAGATTAGGTCACTCAGAGTAGCCCAAGTAATGCGTGGGTAGCACGTCTCCCACCACGCCCACCCTGCACTGGGTGAATCTTGACCACTTAAATGGTCATATTGCCCACCCTCTAGCTTGCCCTGAAGTTCGCTGCTGCCTGTTAATGCATCAAAGGGGTGACTTGATGGACCCCTGTAGAATTTGGCAGGTGTCAATGTGTATTACTGCTTCAGTGTCAGAAGAAAATCAGTTTTGATTCGATTCCTCTCTCAACCCTTTCACCTTCTAGTTAAATATTCTCCATAACACCACTCAAATTAAGTCTTAGATGTTCCTGGGTAAAATGATTATTTAAGAACGTACGTACATCATTCACATTGTAAGCTTTATGGAAAAAAAGCGGGCATTAATTGCTGGGAGTGTGTGAGCTTGAGATTGTTCCTGGTTTCAGTTTTTAACTGGCCCTTGGTGAAGCTGGCATAGCCTCCAGGCAGCAAGCCTATTGCAAGCCAGGTGCATGTCTTGTGTCCATCCAAAGCGGTGCCACCCCTAATCTAACCCGTATACAACAGTACCCCAGCCTCCACCGTGACCTCGTGGGATCATGGCACCACGAGCCACCTCTTCCCACGATAAAAGAGGGTTGGAAACCGTTGCACTGGAGTTTACTTTCTCATTTCAGGTGAAAGGGTTGAGCATTACCGAGGGCACTGCTGTTTATTACTGCGTCGTGTGACCAGCCGCACTTTTGAAGTCCACGAAAAAAATACTTGACTAGACGTTCTTGCAGTGAGCCCCCACTGTGTTTTCGATTCACCCCTCTGCTTTAATGTGTGTCGTCGGGGCAAAACGTAGACATGCATTTTGTCAATTCGGTGAATTGCAGAAAGGTTGTTGGGAGATTTGGCTTTTTTTGAGAAAAGTAAAAAAATAAGATTGTACAATTTTTGTTTTCAACAAAACCGAGGGTTTATGCGTAAGGATGTGTTGCTTGTGCAATTTCTTGGTAGATGAGACTGAATGTACTGTTTGACGTCCAATTGAATTATTTGTACTTGTGCGTTTCAGTAGAAGAGGCGTTATATTTTGTAAATAAAGCTCTTCATAGAGTCTTGTCGGAATGTGTCAGCGTTTGTTGCTTGGGTCGTGCAATGTGGGAACTAGGGTTACTCCGTGAAGAACCATCTGCATACATATCGTTGATTTTTTTGCATTCTGGGCAGTTAAGCAACGTTTACCAAAGGGAATTCAGCTGGCAGTTGGTCAAGAATGGCTGTAAAATGTACTTATGTTGCTGGGCCTTTATTTTCATTTCATCCAAAAATTGAGAGGAAGCTGGCCTCAACGAAACTGGTCTTTAATTTTTTTTTATCAATGCCATTGTCCGCATCTGGCAAGTTGTGACATTTACAGAGACACATTGCTGGAAATGTTTTATGTCACGGTCAGCATGGTGAACGTTTAAGTTTCCAGCATTGGTAAACAAGGACGTTATGCGGCAGCAGAGGTTATTGAGTTGACGCTATGCTGGTGAGGTGAACGAGACGTGTGGAATACCACCCCCTCTGCTGTCCGCACGCTGCATTTCATGCCAATGTTGGTGAGTAAACCTTTCAGGGGGTAGGGGCTATCGACCAGGCCCAGAACGAGAGCAGACGATGGCGTCATCTTCGCCAGTTGTCACGACGAGGAACCGTGCACGGCTGACGATTTTAAGCACCGGGTACTGAACGTGAGGGGCCCTGATTGATGGGACTACGTTGGCACGATGGGCGTGAAATTACGAGGAGTTAATGTTAAAGAGTTGAAGACTGCTGATGTCTGTTGACAACTCGGCAGCTGTATGCTACACTGGATTCACACCGCTGTAATTTCACAAGGTCTGCCAGTGGTTGACAGCATCTGGTGCACAAAACAGTATCACCTAATTAAGGTGAAATGTCACCGAATAGCATGCTGCAAGGTTAAAATATTGAGCATCGTACACCTATCCACAGGGCACATTTAAAAAAAAAACTTCAGTGCACAAAACCTGTCTTTAGAAAATAAAGATCATAATTACATATATTTTATTGGAATTTTCTTAAATTCATACCAGGCATATTGCAAAACAATGATGTGCCCATTGTCATGATCCGAGGGCGCGCACGGCGTACGATTGTAACACGATCGTTCGTCTGCAAAAAAACAACCCCAGCAACGTCTACCAGAACCAGGTTATTGGGATCTCATTGACGGCGGGGAGTGGTATCGTCTCATCTGCACGACCAATACGTCTCCAGATTCAGGGCGGGAGCTGATATGCGGAGAAGTGTCTTAAGTGGTACATGCAATAAATGCGACAAAAGGGGCAGAGGATTAACGTCTGATATGTCAACATTTATCTTATCCATTGTGTATATCGGCTGTATGAGAAACATGTACCTGGACTTTTCACGGAAGTGAGAAACCCCCGTTGGGGTTGTTTTATAAAGAATTAAAAGTCCGCTGTATTTTGTCGCTCCGTCCAACTTCAACAGCGAACGCACGCTTAAACCTGCTCAGATTTCCTGAACGGCAGTTCTTGATTTCAGATGTAGATTTCGGACATTTTTAAAGACGTGGGTAATTCATTAGTGTAACCTAAAAATACATTTTTTTTAACTTTGGCACTATGTAAACCAATTAGGAACAATCGTAAAATATCACGGTGATGTCGGACTTTCAGACGAACCATATATTTGTTGAACTAGATGATTCCCATCACAACAACACCCATAAGTAAAATTCGGATTATTTACCATGATTTTTTATGATTCCGAATTTTTGTAACTGCTCTCAAACGAGTGTCCTCATCGCCCTTGGTGGCCCTGAGCCAGTGGTAGGCATTCCACATTCCTACAGTGGTGTTTGTGTATACAGGGGCTCCTCTACTTACGAACTAGGTTCTGTTCGTAAGTCCAACTTTAGAAAAACATGTACGGCATGTACACTAAACATGGGGAATGGCTTTAAAAGTTTTATAATCTCCTGTAGATTCCACTGGCTCTTCACGTTCTGCAGATGTAGATGTCACCACCGCCATCGATTGCACGGCAGTTGAAATTACGACCCTCGGCCCGAACAGGCAAGTGGACATACGGACAGATTTGTACGTATCTCTGAAAGTTCCTAAGTCGAATGTGCCTAGGTAATAATTTAAATTTATAAAAGTAGCGTAGTCCCTGTATATAGATTTTAGCCTAACATTTTCTCACCACTTGATGATATAGCTGGTTGGCATTTCGAAACTCAGGCCCTCAATAATCCTATGTGCTGACAGTCTGCTGGGCCCCGATTTACTTGTGGGAGAGAAAACAAAAATCCCTCTTTGAATTATCCAATCAAGAATAATGAATACCGCACCAAATGCACTTATGAATACACACACATCTCCATACACGCTATACGTTACTGTACAACATGTACACAATTTCCAACGGGCAAGATGACCTCATCAGCTCTTCTCCCATTTGCCATCAAATGTCCGACATCGCGAGCCACTCGACTGGATACGAGAGCCAAACTTCCCAGGTCCAATCGGCCTTCTCACGCCACCTTCTGGCCATCGTAAGGGACAGTCGTTAATGTGGAGGGGAACGTGCAGTAGTAGGGGGCGGCATAGAGAGCTTCCCGTTGCCACACAGCCAGTCTCTGTTAAGCCTGGTCCAAGAAATACCTGGACGGCTGCTGCCCATGGGCACACATTCTGACCACGTGACCCGGGAAATCTTTAAATATGCGGTCATAAAAAAATTTCGCCCGTAGTACCGATCCTCTCTCGCGGTGAGTGAGCATATGCGGGGCCACTGCCTGGCTTTAGGAGCGCCGGGTGGCACGGGGACACGAAATGCGATGCCACAAAACGCGATGGGACGTCTCCAAGCGCAAGCCGTGTTGGGGTTTAAATGTCCTCGTTTTATTTGACGAAGCGCATCCGCGACACAGCGCAAGTAAATTCGCTCGAGGTTTTATTTTTTTTCGCAGAGATGAAATATTTTCTCCCGTTCAAGTTCAAGCATATTTTGTACACGCGCGTGTGTGTGTGTGAACATGTAGATAACTGTATATATGGACACTGTAAACACACCTCTGGGTCTGCACACACCGCCGTGGAAACCTGCAGAGTAGCAACAATCCCGGCATTGGTCCTTGGTAGAGCAAACGTAATCAACACAGTTGATCTTGGAGTGCGGAAACACCAACAGACGACGAAAAGCTTTGATGGTTTGAGAACGTCATGTTCGTGGGAGACGCTACTTCGAGAGGGCCTAAGCGAGACTGCCCTGGAGTGAAACCGACGGCGACATGCGTAGGTTCACGACTACCACACCGGCGGAAACGAGATTCCACACGCTTGCACTTCGCATTTCATTGTCTTCGTTAAAGCGCCTGAGTTTTCATTTAACCACTTTTCTCGACTTGTTTTGTCTTTTTTATTCTCATTTCACACGTATGGAAGATGTGCAATAAGCAAAGGTACAGCACGGCCGTACAGATCACACGACCACAACGACCCTCGTGCAATTGAAACAAATCGACAGTAAATTCATAATTTACATAATTAATTTCAATAAAAAACTATAAGGAATCGCTCGTAACAATAATTCAGTCTTCTCACCTTAAACGCGATCGAGTTAAGCGCTAAGGAGGGAAGGTAATGGAGAGGGGGGGGGATGGTGAGACGGCGGTCACCAGGGGTCACGGAACGTTCACAAACGTTGACGAGGAAGCGTCGAATTGGCGGCTCGGTGAGGCCGCGTCCTGCACCGCTATGTACAGTCTCGTCGCCGCCCATGCCACACCACAACCAAACACAGCAGCGACGAGCGGTTCACGTGAACATTCAGCCGCACGCTCATAAATCTTTATAAAAGAAGCATACTAATTTACACCGCGTGGCCGGGCCGCGTGCGTGAACGGAAGGAGCGCCGTCAGCTTTGTTCGCTTGCTTCGTTCCCCTTTGTATTAAAACAGTGCCGGGAGTCCAAATCCGGGTCGCCAAACTCCATTACGAGCCCTGACGCAAAATCCGGGATTCGATTTTAGCCGATAAGCAGGTTTCGATGGCAAAGGTGCGATCATCGATTGCATTGATCGGTAAAAATGCACAAGTGGACCGCGTGGAGGCGATGCATTGTGAAATCGCTTTCACGGACCGTACCGGCGAGTCGTATCATGTGGCTGTGAGGTCACGTCGTGGTCAGCAGCGGTTTATTGTAGCAAAATCCATTGTTGTAATGTACTACGCTCCCACATCTAGGCTCTCTCTGCCTTCTCCAACGTGCACCGACCAGCGTGACGATGTACGGTCGTATAACTTCCACGACCCCGCACGGTGCAGTGGGCCTTCATCCTGCCGTGAACTGATAAAAGGGCCGCAGAAACATGTAACAGTGGGTGGCGTCACGAGGCGTGGAGTTTGGCAGTCACGGTTTCGAAACAGAAAAAACAAACAGCAGATGGACGCTTGAGGTCATGGCCTAAGGGGGTGGCCAAACTTCCTGACACGACGAGCCACGGTACCAACATCGCCGTACGGCCAAGAAGAGCCACATGCTCCGAGCGGGTCACGCTGGTTGTCCATGGAGTTTTGAAATTTAGAAATCTGCGGGAGCACCCCGGGGGAGAGGGGGGGGTAACTCTTGTTTGGCTCAGCTGCCAGGGTTGGAGTGCACCAAAAAACCGTTTCCTGCTTCTGCAGATTTCTCCTCTTTCGAAAAGTAAAAAAAACGAATGAGCCGCGTCTCGATCGAGCTGCGCGTGGACTGCGCTGGCTCGCGAGCCGCGGTTTGGCCGCCTCTGTGTCGTAGACCGCCGATACATTTCTTCATTTGGTGGCTGCAGGGGGTCCGGGCGCGGCAGCGGCGACGGCGGCGGCGGCACGCAGGCCGCGCGAAGGCTGCGCGCCGCTGCGCTCCGGGGATGGTCGGCACCGTGCAGGGGGCTCCGCTCGTTGGACGACTGTTGCGCCGGGCTCGGCTGTGCCGCCGCTTCTGCGGGAGGGGGAGAACACGAACCGCCCGTTAGCACAGCGGGCGGCAACGCTGCGCAGGCGAGACCCAATTGCGCTTCTTCTCTGTAACGATCGACTTGTACGTATGTGCGTTGAACTTCTTTCGCACCGTACTTAGCCAAGCGTGCTAATCAAAGGACCTCAGAAGTCGTTTGGCGATGTCTGCCTGCGCAGGCGGTGATGCTCTGTCAGAGATCCGAATTAATACTCATATCTCATGCCATGACACACAGCACAATCGTGATATATGTCAAAACAAGGAGTCATTGTCTGATGGCGGTGCACGCCTGTAACCCGGCAATTCGGGTCAAGGGTTGACGGCTCACTTCGATCAGCGTGTAAGCGCAAGACTCCCAGCCTGCAGGTAAGAGCTGATGGCAGGACGGCGAGTGGGTCTGTGTCCGACATTTGAGTGTTAATCCCCCAATACGCAGGTTTTCCTGGGTTTCATTCTGCGTGTGCGACACGTGCATTGATAGGATGAAATGGCCAAACATCCCAGGGCTGGACCCCCTTGACGACGAGCCTTTGGACCCCGGTCAGACGTTCACGAATGAAATATTTGCATAAAAAACTTGAGGGCGTCAACGGAGGCGAGCTGCGAGTGAGCAGTTCAGTAGAACTCTACAACAAACGAAGCGAACGACTTTGAACGTTGCGTAAGAAAGCTACATTGTTGCCTGTAAATTTAATCGTGGCACAACACTCGCAAAGTCGCTTGTCTATCCAACACCGCCAGTGGCTGTGAATGTCGAAACACGAACCCGACCGTTACCGCGGCGAGCACGGCATGACACGGCCAAGCTTCTCGCACTCCGCTGTGTGTTAAAAGAGAATCATTATGATGCTTCTACACTTGTTCACATGCAAATCCACAGACACGCAACCGCCACGCGATGCGATGAGCACGGTTGGCTACGTACGGTGCGAAAGAAGTTCGACACACATACGTACATATCTTCCGATCAAAGGCAAGTTGCTGAAAGATAGAGTGAAGCAGCAATGCTACTTTTTTTCTGTCAAAACGTCAAGGGTTGGTCCCTAAAAAAAACAACCCTAAACGGAACCTCCAGGTGACGAGTCGTTTCCGTCTGGTGAACCCCACGAGGTTGGCGCTGTCATGTGTGCACGCCGATCCTTAGCGCCCAGCTCTGGCGCCCCCACAGTGGGGCGAGCCATAGACGAACATACAACCTACAGACTACCATAGGAGCCATAGACTAACAACTACAGATTATCATAGGAGCCATAGACGAATATACAGCCTACAGATTATCATAGGAGCCATAGACTAACATACAGCCTACAGATTATCATAGGAGTCATAGACTAACATACAACCTACAGACTAGCATAGGAGCCATAGACTAACATACAGCCTACAGATTATCATAGGAGCCATAGACTAACATACAGCCTACAGATTATCATAGGAGCCATAGACTAACATACAGCCTACAGACTAGTACAGGAGCCATAGACTAACATACAGCCTACAGACTAGTACAGGAGCCATAGACTAACATACAGCCTACAGACTAGTACAGGAGCCATAGACTAACATACAGCCTACAGACTAGTACAGGAGCCATAGACTAACATACAGCCTACAGACTAGTACAGGAGCCATAGACTTACATACAGCCTACAGACTAGTACAGGAGCCATAGACTAACATACAGACTAGTACAGGAGCCATAGACTTACATACAGCCTACAGACTGGTACAGGAGCCATAGACTAACATACAGCCTACAGTCTAGTACAGGAGCCATAGACTAACATACAGCCTACAGACTAGTACAGGGGCCATAGACTAACATACAGCCTACAGATTATCATAGGAGCCATAGACTAACAACCTACAGACTAGTACAGGAGCCATAGACTAACATATAACCTACAGACTAGTACAGGAGCCATAGACTAACATACAGCCTACAGACGATATGTATGTTGAACTTCAACATACACAGAACTTCTTTCGCACCATACGTAGTCAACCATGCGAATCGGAGGTGCGGGGAAAGGATGGCTAACTAAACACAAAAAAGTATTTCTAAACAAATTACTTTTCGATTTACTTTTAAAAGTGCATCCCTCCCAGTGGCCAACTGCGCCACGCCACTCCGCCCCCCCCCCCCAACCCCTGCCCAGTGCGTGCTGATGAATGAGAGGGGCGACTGCTCGTGCGGCCCTGCCGCGCCACCCTCCACTCTCCACCTACGTCGCGGGGTCTCTCCCGGGAGCCTCCGCGGCTCCGCTTGGCACCGGCGGTGGCGCGGGGGGCTTCAGCGTGGCGCTCTGCCGCACGATCTCACCGACGATCATCCGCGCCACCCTCCACGCCATGTCCTCCTGCGCCTGGTCGCATCGGGCGGGGGGAGGGCAAAGGTTGGCATCAACAAGATGCGCACTTTTTGCATGAATCTGCGGTTAAAACTTAAACAATTTTTTTTTTATTTTATCAGGAAAGGCCCACTGAGCTATGTAGCTCTTTTTCAGAAGCGACCTGGTCACAAATGATGGCTCAACGAATTGGCTTGTCACGTGGCAATTTATAGCAGCCAAATACTCTAAGCGCGTGATGTTGATTCTAAATGTAGAGTGAAAAACCGGAGGACCCAGAGAAAAATCCAAACGACCACGGGGAGAACATGCAAACTCTAAATATGCAGCAGGCATCAGGGTCGGGATCAAACCCACGACCTCCTGTGTACCAGGCGAGGTAGTTAACATCTCACCACAGATAGAGAGACACGCAAACTCTAAATATTATACAGCAGGTATCGTCAGGATCGGGATCGAACCCACGACCTCCTGTGTACCAGGCGAGGCAGTTAACATCTCGCCAATGTGGGGAGTAGTTGTTTACTTGGCCATCGCTGCTGCTGACGCACAGAATGGGAAATGCAATTCCAGATGCAAATGCATTCTCGCAAAACACGACCTCGATGCGAAAGTAAACTCGTGGAGCAGCTGGGAGTGCCCTTTTCACCTCTGGGAATTACAGAATAACCTTGAGGCCATTCATTAACACGACGGGCCCAAAACGTTGTAACTCGCTGACCCGCCCCTCCTAGACATCTGTGAAAGCGCTTCGTAGCTCACTGGATTGCTCCTGCAGTCTAACTGAACATTCAGATTCCAATTCTGAATACACACTGTACACAGCACAGCTCCATTTGTCAATCCACTGCTGGATGATGGCCTCCCCGCACCGTCCCGGTCGTTGGGATTATTCGACCAGACTTCGTCACTCTGCTCAGTGCGAGTTGATAAATGAGGGGAGTTATAGATGCGCGAGTGTAGACGTGGGTGGCGTGGAAGTACTGTACAACCATGCATTTTGCTCCACTGACCTCTGCTCATCACCACATAAGCCACTGCTCCCACAGCCGTCTATAACACTCCGATGTGCAACGTGGCCACCTACACAACCACAATCCCAGGCTCAAACCTGCTTCGCTTTCCATGTGGCCCACTCTTACCTCATCAGTGGTTCCTTGCACCCATCGCTTCATAACCTGTGACAGAGATCCTGTCGAAAGGGGAGACCATGAGTCAAGGAGCATTAACCATCGCCACGCAAACTCCGGTGGTCATCCTCGCAGCAGCAGCAGTAGCAGCAGCGGCGGCTTTTGGCCCGCCATCGAATGAAGACGGTCACTGCATATAGTGAGCTTTCAAATGCGCTTCTGTGGCCGTCTGGAACGCTATTAGGAAGCTACTGGAGCTATGCACTTTTAATTCACCTAGATTGAAAACTCAGTTATTTAGAACTGAGTTTTGTGTTTAGTTTTTTGTATTCCCCCCGCACCTCCAATTAGCGCAGTTGACTACGTACTGTGCGGAAGAATTTCAACATGCAGTCTGTTCTCCTGTAACGTGGTAGTTGCGTTTCTGAAGAACGCCACGTTATGGAAAATTCGCGTTTTCATAAATAACAAATAAAAGAGGGGTAAAGCACAGTCCGCAATAACACGTGAGATGCGTACGCAGGCTGAACAAAGACAAAGGTGCGTGGGTAGCATCTAGAAGCATGCAGCAGCATCCCGCCTAGTGCGATGCTACGTCGAGGCAGCCGTACGGCCGCTTATTGCTACTTGCACGACGAAGTTCTGTTCACTCAATCGCGTTACATCCAATTTGCATCATAAAAGCACGCAGCGTTATAGGAGAACAGCCTGTACATGCATACAGACGAGATGTGATGGCATCACACTCGGCGTGCTGCCCTAATTGGCGTCGGTTTCAGATTTTAAAATCTTTAAGGACAATTCGGGATTTTCTTTGGGATATTGGGACCATTTCCACCCCCGCACCCATGCACAAGGCCTTCGTGCTAATGGCAGCGATGGCACCTGGAGCGTGGAGGTGACGTCATATCCATGACGCCACATCACGTTTCCAGATCGGTTCGAAACAAATAATATTTTCTGATCATCCAAAATTTGGTATCCGGTCCAGATTTTCTAAAAATGTATATTTATTTTAAACAGCTGTCGATCGTTTGTAAATATATATACAGTCGTACCTCGGTATACGACCGCTTTGGAATACGTCGAATTTGGTACACGTCGTGTTTTGACGAGAAAAAACATTTCTTGGGATACGACGTCTTGCTTGGGGTACGACGTCTTGCTAGGGATGCAACGCGCTTGCTAGAACTTGTATGGGTCGGGATGAGTCACCGCGTACAGTACCCGCGTACACAACACTACTGTTACGGCTCTAACAAGCCGTAACAGTATTGTGTCGAATGACCAGACAATGTCACACTTCAGGAACATTCTTAGAAGAAGGCTAAAAACAAACTTCAATGGGCAGGTTTTTAGTAAAACTCAAACCTGGTGAGCTTCAACCAGGTCCAAGTCAAGAAAAAAGACAGAAAAGAGTAAAAGCCACAGAATTTCAGTTTCCTGAAGTTTTAATGGCAGGGGATTCTCCTTCCTAAAAATAACATCTCCTCCTCCTCCCCTTCCTCACCACCATCCTCGTGGGCTATCAACTCCTCTCAGCAAGGTAAAGTGATGTTACATTTTATTTTTATTTAAATTTATTAAAATTTATGTATGCACTTTAGTAAAAAGTAGTGTCTAAATTATTTACTACAACGCCATTAATGTACAAGATGCCATATAAAATATAATTTCTTATACTCTGGAACGGATGATTTCCTTTCCCTTTACTTATGGGAAACATTCGTTTGGTAGACGTCACTTCCGGTATACAAGTCCTCCTAGCTTCTGGAACGAATTAACGACGTGTACCGAGGCACCACTGGTATTTGTAATTGTGAAGAGTTTTTAATGTGATGGGTTTTAATGTGATGGTGCTGTGAGTGGCAGATTTGTACCCGAAAGGCACCACACGTATGTAAACAAAATGAAACTTAACTTGACTCGTTAAAACATTTGGGAGCACAACCCTGGTAGTTCTCGGGGCACTTCATTTGAGAACGAACACAAACTGTGTTGAAGGGAAACAATAAAATAATAAAAATAATAAAATATATCTTTTAATAAAATATATTTTAATAAAATATATATTTTATTACTTTATTGTTTCCCTTCAACGTGACTTTACCGAAAGAGCTAAGAATATTAATTACTGCAGTCACGAAAGCTTTAAATCAAAACAAACTGTGTTGTTATTTCTTTGCTGGGGCAGCAGACCCAATGAACTACGTTGACTGCGGGGGGCCCCCCCTCCAGTGTGTAATGTGGCATTGCCACGGGCGTAGGCGATTGGCCACGGAGGACTGTGGACGTGGCTTGGCGGACGTGCAGGACGTTTCTAAATCGGATGGAGAGGTCTTACGCCACTCGACGCGTTAACATTCAGAAGCGCTGCGTGTTTGTGAAATGTTAATGGATCTGCTTGGTCAGGCGCAGGCAACGACTGAGGTGCAGTGGTTGGCGCAGGGTGCAGTGAACCCAGCGACCCAAGATGGATTAACGGTCACGGCTAACATCAGTCGTGAGCCATATCTGGACCGGTCCTGGGCCACCCCTCCCCGCCACACCTTCCCCGCCACACCTTCACCAACGAGGTGACCTGCAGTAAAACCACCCCCACGACAAACAACACACCGTGGTGGGGAGGGAGGAACTTCATCCAGCAGTGGATTAAGAAAGGGCTGAACTTGATTTAGTACGAGTGACCCCATTCTCCCATGCGTGTTGGCTTCTATTCGTCCCTGTGAATCTATTAGGAAGTCACTGTAGCTATGGCATTTTAACATATAAATGGAAAACTAATTTATTTATAACTGATTTTTGTGTTAAGTTTGTTGTCCTTCCCCCGGCACCTCCGATTAGCATGGGGTTGGCTACGTGCGGTGCGAAGTCCAACATACACACACAGGTGGATATTCACTATCGCGGTGGTGGATATTCACTATCCCTGTGGCGGATATTCACTATCCCTGTGGTGGATATTCACTATCGCGGTGGTGGATATTCACTATCTCTGTGGTGGATATTCACTACCCCTGTGGTGGATATTCACTATCCCTGTGGTGGATATTCACTATCCCTGTGGTGGATATTCACTACCCCTGTGGTGGATATTCACTATCCGTGGTGGATATTCACTATCCCTGTGGTGGATATTCACTATCTCTGTGGTGGATATTCACTACCCCTGTGGTGGATATTCACTATCCCTGTGGTGGATATTCACTATCTCTGTGGTGGATATTCACTACCCCTGTGGTGGATATTCACTATCGCGGTGGTGGATATTCACTACCCCTGTGGTGGATATTCACTATCCCTGTGGTGGATATTCACTACCCCTGTGGTGGATATTCACTATCGCGGTGGTGGATATTCACTATCCCTGTGGTGGATATTCACTATCCCTGTGGTGGATATTCACTATCGTGGTGGTGGATATTCACTATCTCTGTGGTGGATATTCACTACCCCTGTGGTGGATATTCACTATTGCGGTGGTGGATATTCACTATCTCTGTGGTGGATATTCACTACCCCTGTGGTGGATATTCACTATCCCGGTGGTGGATATTCACTATCCCGGTGGTGGATATTCACTATCCCTGTGGTGGATATTCACTATCCCTGTGGTGGATATGCACTATCCCGGTGGTGGATATTCACTATCATGGTGGTGGATATTGACCATCCCGGTGGTGGATATTCACTATCCCGGTGGTGGATATTCACTATCCCTGTGGTGGATATTCACTATCCCGGTGGTGGATATTCACTATCTCTGTGGTGGATATTCACTACCCCTGTGGTGGATATTCACTATCCCTGTGGTGGATATTCACTATCTCTGTGGTGGATATTCACTACCCCTGTGGTGGATATTCACTATCGCCGTGGTGGATATTCACTACCCCTGTGGTGGATATTCACTATCCCTGTGGTGGATATTCACTATCGCAGTGGTGGATATTCACTATCCCTGTGGTGGATATTCACTATCCCTGTGGTGGATATTCACTATCGTGGTGGTGGATATTTACTATCTCTGTGGTGGATATTCACTATCGCGGTGGTGGATATTCACTATCTCTGTGGTGGATATTCACTACCCCTGTGGTGGATATTCACTATCCCGGTGGTGGATATTCACTATCCCGGTGGTGGATATTCACTATCCCTGTGGTGGATATGCACTATCCCGGTGGTGGATATTCACTATCATGGTGGTGGATATTGACCATCCCGGTGGTGGATATTCACTATCCCGGTGGTGGATATTCACTATCCCTGTGGTGGATATTCACTATCCCGGTGGTAGATATTCACTATTCCTGTGGTGGATATTCACTATCATGGTGGTGGATATTCACTATCCCGGTGGTGGATATTCACTATCATGGTGGTGGATAATCACTATACCGGTGGTGGATATTCACTATACCTGTGGTGGATATTCACTATCCCGGTGGTGGATATTCACTATCGTGGTGGTGGATATTCACCATCCCGGTGGTGGATATTCACCATCCCGGTGGTGGATATTCACTATCATGGTGGTGGATATTCACCACCCTGGTTGTGTATATTCACTATCCCTGTGGTGGATATTCACCATCATGGTGGTGGATATTCACTATCATGGTGGTGGATATTCACCATCCCGGTGGTGGATATTCACTATCATGGTGGTGGATATTCACCACCCCGGTCGTGGATATTCACCACCCCGGTCGTGGATATTCACTATCCATGTGGTGGATATTCACTATCCCTGTGGTGTATATTCACCATCCTGGTGGTGGATATTCACTGTCCCTGTGGTGGATATTCACCACCCCAGTGGTGGATATTCACTATCCCTGTGGTGGATATTCACTATCCCAGTCTACAGGAGGTCAACAAGTCTTAATTTACTAATACGTGGGTCTCATTTTACTGACCCCAGAGAGATGATGAGCTGACTCCCCACCAATTTGTAAACTCACAACCTTTTTATTGCCAGTCAGGTGCTCTCCCACCCCCCGATGAGGATGATGATGATGCTTACATACATCATCATCACTGCCGTCGATAAACCGTCATCGGAATTATAACTCAAAACCTCCCAAGTGAGAGCTTGCGGCCAAAATAAACTTCAGCTATCTCTTAAACGCACCGTATACATACCCCGCCATACAGTGAGGGAACAAAGTATTTGATCCCCTGCTGATTTTGTACGTTTGCCCACTGACAAAGAAATGATCAGTCTATAATTTTAATGGTGGGTTTATTTGAACAGTGAGAGACAGAATAACAACAACAAAATCCAGAAAAACGCATGTCAAAAATGTTATAAATTGATTTGCATTTTAATGAGGAAAATAAGTATTTGACCCCTCTGCAAAACATGACTTAGTACTTGGTGGCAAAACCCTTGTTGGCAATCACAGAGGTCAGACGTTTCCTGTTGTTGGCCACCAGGTTTGCACACATCTCAGGAGGGATTTTGTCCCACTCCTCTTTGCAGATCTTCTCCAAGTCATCAAGGTTTCGAGGCTGACGTTTGGCAACTCGAACTTTCAGCTCTCTCCACAGATTTTCTATGGGATTAAGGTCTGGAGACTGGCTAGACCACTCCAGGACCTTAATGTGCTTCTTCTTGAGCCATTCCTTTGTTGCCTTGGCCGTGTGTTTTGGGTCATTGTCATGCTGGAATACCCATCCACGACCCATTTTCAATGCCCTGGCTGAGGGAAGGAGGTTCTCACCCAAAATTTGACGGTACATGGCCCCATCCATCGTCCCTTTGATGTGGTGAAGTTTTCCTGTCCCCTTAGCAGAAAAACACCCCCAAAGCATAATGTTTCCACCTCCATATTTGATGGTGGGGATGGTGTTCTTGGGGTCATAGTCAGCATTCCTCCTCCTCTAAACACGGCGAGTTGAGTTGATGCCAAAGAGCTCCATTTTGGTATCATCTAACCACAACACTTTCACCCAGTTGTCCTCCGAATCATTCAGATGTTCATTGGCAAACTTCAGAATGGCATGTACATGTGCTTTCTTGAGCAGGGGGACCTTGCGGGTGCTGCAGGATTTCAGTCCTTCACGGCGTAGTGTGTTACCAATTGTTTTCTTGGTGACTATGGTCCCAGCTGCCTTGACATCATTGACAAGATCCTCCCGTGTAGTTCTGGGCTGATTCCTCACCGTTCTCATGATCATTGCAACTCCACGATGTGAGATCTTGCATGGAGCCCCAGGCCGAGGGAGATTGACAGTTCTTTTGTGTTTCTGCCATTTGCGAATAATCGCACCAACTGTTGTCACCTTCTCACCAAGCTGCTTGGCAATGGTCTTGTAGCCCATTTCAGCCTTGTGTAGGTCTACAATCCTGTCCCTGACATCCTTGGAGAGCTCTTTGGTCGTGGCCATGGTGGAGAGTTTGGAATCTGATTGATTGCTTCTGTGGACAGGTGTCTTTTATACAGGTAACAAGCTGAGATTAGTAGCACTCCCTTTAAGAGTGTGCTCCTAATCTCAGCTCGTTACCTGTATAAAAGACACCTGGGAACCAGAAATATTTCTGATTGAGAGGGGGTCAAATACTTATTTCCCTCATTAAAATACAAATCAATTTATAACATTTTTGACATGCGTTTTTCTGGATTTTGTTGTTGTTATTCTGTCTCTCACTGTTCAAATAAACCTACCATTAAAATTATAGACTGATCATTTCTTTGTCAGTGGGTAAACGTACAAAATCAGCAGGGGATCAAATACTTTTTTCCCTCACTGTACATGCAGAGTCTCTACGAGAGAACGCGGAAGTTAGAGACACCGAATTGACTGTTGAGAAAGGTGAGCTTGAGCAGGGAAGCGATGCACCACCAGAAGGGACGATGGGGCGATGGGGGTCAAGGCCACGGGGACAGGAGGGGCAACCAATGGAAGGAACTCGCCAGAGAGGATTGCCACCATGGAGATGGAGCGGATTTAATCAGCGCTTGTGGAGAAGCTAGATTAATTTTTGCATCACGAAACTTTGAGAATTGGCGATGACTTGGGAAGGCCTTTATGCAATAGTGGACTGCTCATCGGATGATGATCGTGACGATAAAGACTAAGATCCCCCGTATAGTCTTAACAGACAGTTGGGACAAGTGCTGTTCGTGAGCAGCGCATATGAAGGCCGACACGGCACACAAGGGGGTGGGTAGCCAGCACCGCGTGAACACGTGCACACACACACACACACTCTATTCACCTTTGGGTTTCTTCCCGTCAGGATTTGGCTCCGACTCCTTGACAAACTGCCCGAGGGTGTTGATCCTCCCAAATGACATTTTCCTGCCGCAGCAGCAACAACGACAACAAGCAGCAGTAGACACGCAGAGGGTAACACATGGCAGCAGGCACAGTTAACGCACATGCCCAAGGATTACCGCCAACGCGTGCGGCCAGTGAACTGGTCAGGGCTAACATTGGCGGCAAACGAAATCAGAACCGGACCTGGGCCAACCCATTCACCATAATTGCGTTGCTCAGTGTGGAGAAGTATGGACAAACAACCCACACGGCTGACACGGTGAGGGGAGGCTGCTTTAAGCAGCAGCGGATCGATCGAGACCTGTAAATGCTTGTTAAACTACTAAGACAATAAACAGTAAAACCTTGGATTGCGAGTAACTTGGTCTGCGAGTGTTTTGCAAGACGAGCAATAATTTCAAATAAATATTAATTTCATAAACGAGCGAGGGTCTTGCAATACGAGTAGTACATACAGTAGACGCTTTGTCTGCCGAGCGTCACGTGATCACAACTGATATACGAGTGCTTTGGATCACAAACACGTTTCCGGAACGAATTATGCTCGCAATCCAAGGTTTTACTGTACTGCCGCTAACCGATGTCAAAATGGCTTCACAGTGGCCACACAATCGAACGTTATCACCCTCACTCGTCAAAAATGTGTAAGATACCTATAGGAATGTAATGTTAACCGTCCTCGCTGCACCAAGAGTCTATAATTGAATAACAATATTCGTTTAATTTTGTACAGCGCCATCGACACGATTGCATCCCAAAAGTGTGCATAATAATTGTAAGTTTACACCACCGATGGTGGGCTCAGGCCCACGAGGCAGAACTTTGTGAACAAGATTATTAAGTGCAGAAGAGGCTGGGGGAAAATACATTCGCACAGCTTTCCCTCGCTTTGTGCGGGTTCGCTTTGGGGGATTTTGCGAATGTGACTTCCGTTAGATGAAAATACTGTTAAGTCTCGCAACGATCTGTTGCTGGTGGCCTTGAGTGGGAATCGGACGTGGGTCGCCGGGTTTACAACACGCTACACTACCGTAAACATAAAGACATGGATCCCCCGTACAGCCTTAACAGACTGCTGGGGCAAGTGCTGTTAGCGAGCAGCACCTATGAAGGCCGGCACTGGGGCACACGAGGGGTTGGTTGGCCAGGACCACGCGATGTTTGACACACCACACCAGAGAATCATTTGAGGCTGAGTCAATCTAGGAGAGGCCCATGACCAGATCAGATAATCGTCACTGGTGTTGGCCGTGAACGGTAATCGAACTCGGGTCGTTGGGTTCGTAGCGTGCTAACCACTGCACCACCGCTTCCCACACACACACACAAGTACGGAACCCACACGCACGCGCGCACACGCACCCCGCGTAATGCCTGTAGTAGAGAGACTCCGGCTCCAGGCTCTTGGCGTCGATCGTGATGTCCTCGTCGAAGTTCTTGAGGATCTTCACCAGGTTCTTCTTGTTGCTGTTGGCCTGCGGAGCGAGCGGGCAGGCAGGCAGGCAGGCGTGCGAGCGAGCGAGCGAGCGGGCGGGATTAACGCGAGCGTGCCCCACGCTGCGCTCCACCACCCGCCGGGTGGGCAGCAACGCCGTGGTGCGGACGTCGAGTGGCGGTGTGGAGGAGAGCGGAGTGGACGACGCGCAGTAACGTAGCACGGTGGACCATGGTGCAGTGTACTTCGGTGTACCGTGGCACGGTGTAACGCGGTGTAACGTGGCATGGTGTACCGTGGCACGGTGTAACGCGGCACGGTGTAACGCGGTGTAACTTGACAGTGTACCGTGGCATGGTGTAACGCGATGTAACGTGGCATGGTGTAGCGTGACACAGTGTACCGTGGCACGGTGTAACGTGACACAGTGTACCGTGGCACGGTGTAACGTGACACAGTGTACCGTGGCACGGTGTAACGCGGTGTACCGTGGCATGGTGTACCGTGACAATGTACCGAGGCACGGTGTAACGCGGTGTAACGTGCCATGGTGTAACGTGGCATGGTGTACCATGGCAGTGTACCGTGGCACAGTGTAACGTGACACAGTGTACCGTGGCATGGTCTAACGCGGTGTAACGTGGCATGGTGTACCGTGACACAGTGTACCGTGACACAGTGTACCGTGGCACGGTGTAACGTGACACAGTGTACCGTGGCACGGTGTAACGTGACACAGTGTACCGTGGCACGGTGTAACGTGACACAGTGTACCGTGGCACGGTGTAACGTGACACAGTGTACCGTGGCACGGTGTAACGTGACACAGTGTACCGTGGCACGGTGTAACGTGACACAGTGTACCGTGGCACGGTGTACCGTGACACAGTGTACCGTGGCACGGTGTAACGTGACACAGTGTACCGTGGAACGGTGTAACGTGACACAGTGTACCGTGGCACGGTGTAACGTGACAGTGTACCGTGGCACGGTGTAACGTGACACAGTGTACCGTGGCACGGTGTAACGTGACACAGTGTACCGTGGCACGGTGTAACGTGACACAGTGTACCGTGGCACGGTGTAACGTGACACAGTGTACCGTGGCACGGTGTAACGTGACACAGTGTACCGTGGCACGGTGTAACGTGACACAGTGTACCGTGGCACGGTGTAACGTGACACAGTGTACCGTGGCACGGTGTAACGTGACACAGTGTACCGTGGCACGGTGTAACGTGACACAGTGTACCGTGGCACGGTGTAACGTGACACAGTGTACCGTGGCACGGTGTAACGTGACACAGTGTACCGTGGCACGGTGTAACGTGACACAGTGTACCGTGGCACGGTGTAACGTGACACAGTGTACCGTGGCACGGTGTAACGTGACACAGTGTACCGTGGCACGGTGTAACACGGCACAGTGTACCGTGACAAAGTGTACCGTGACACAGTGTACCGTGACACAGTGTACCGTGACACAGTGTACCGTGACACAGTGTACCGTGACACGGTGTACCGTGACACAGTGTACCGTGGCACAGTGTACCGTGACACAGTGTACCGTGACGCAGTGTACCGTGACACAGTGTACCGTGACACAGTGTACCGTGACACAGTGTACCGTGACAGTGTACCGTGGCACAGTGTACCGTGACAGTGTACCGTGGCACAGTGTACCGTGACAGTGTACCGTGGCACAGTGTACCGTGACACAGTGTACCGTGGCACAGTGTACCGTGGCACAGTGTACCGTGACACAGTGTACCGTGACAGTGTACCATGGCACAGTGTACCGTGACACAGTGTACCGTGACACAGTGTACCGTGGCACAGTGTACCGTGGCACGGTGTACCGTGACACAGTGTACCGTGGCACAGTGTACCGTGGCACAGTGTACCGTGACACAGTGTACCGTGACACAGTGTACCGTGACAGTGTACCGTGGCACGGTGTAACGCGGCACGGTGTACCGCGGCACGGTGTACCGTGACACAGTGTAACGCGGCACGGTGTACCGTGACACAGTGTAACGCGGCACGGTGTAACGCGGCACGGTGTAACGCGGTGTACCGTGGCACAGTGTACCGTGACACAGTGTACCGTGACACAGTGTAACGCGGCACGGTGTAACGCGGCACGGTGTAACGCGGCACGGTGTAACGCGGTGTACCGTGACACAGTGTACCGTGACACAGTGTACCGTGGCACGGTGTAACGCGGTGTACCATGCCACGGTGTACCGTGACACCGCTGTCGTCGCCTGCTCACCTGGTTCCCGCGTTCGTTGCCCACGGCCTCGGATGGCGGCGGCGCCCCCCCCCGTCCGGGCACGTGGGCGCTTGGCCCCAGCGCCTCTTCACTGCGCACCGAGTACAGCAGCTCCGACAGGTACTTGTAGTAGATGTCGCTGCACAGGAAGCCAGGCAGGTAGACCTGGGCAAGAGCACAGGGGCCAGCGGATGGACCGTTTTGGCAGTATAAGGGACTGTTTTCGGCAGTGGCCCCTGTTCGCACGCGGCGATGGATACAACTTCACAACAGTGGTCATCAACGAGCGCAGCATTAAGTGATCGATAAACCGTACGTCGACTGAACGTGCCCGATCTCACCAGGTCTGCCCATCTGGCTAGCCCACAGTGGGGGTGGGGGTCAGGGTGGGGGGCGGGTGGGGAGGGGCAGGAGTGGGGGGGGCGACTCACAGCCTCCATGGTGGTGTAGGCCTGGCGCAGAGCTGTGGAGAAGCAGTCAGGGAGCGGGCCACCCTCCCGACAGATGTTGGATTCAACCTCAGGTCGCACGGAGTCTCCGAAGCCCAGCGGGCACGTGGCCTGCAGAGAGAAGTACCTGCCAAGACAACAATCCCCCACCGCCGCCGCCACCACCACCACTGTTTAGCTGCACGCAGTCCAAGGGCAAGCGATGCTCTACTGTAGGGTAGCCACGATATGGTGATACGTCACCTATAATATCGAAATATTATTTATAAAAGTGGTTTGGGTTTCTGATAAAAAGGTTAGGCATAAGGATTTGCATTAACTTAAAGTAAACTCCATAATAGAGTTTTTTTGGGTTAGATCGCATAAATATACCAATGTGTCGTTAAAACCCGCCACCACCCGACACAGCCAACTAGTAAGGGTTGTCACGTAAACAGAACGTGCCATTTCGTCACTAGTACAGCGCACCGGTGTGTTGGAGAGCCAAGCCACAACATTTACAATGTGAGTACGACGTTTCGCCAGTAATTACAACCAGCTTCATCAGGCGACAGACAGATTTGTGGAGATCTGCGATCTAACCCAAAAACCTTTATTATGAATATTGGTCGCGAAAGCCTACGTGTTAAACTCAAAGTAGTGACTTATCACGTGGAAATATATAGCAGCAGCCAAATAGACGTGACGTTTATTCTAAATGTGGAGGGGAAATAAAACCGGGGGTGCGGAGAAAAATCCATGTGACCACGGGGAGAGAGACACGCAAACTCTAAATATACAGCAGCAGCAGGCGTCAGGGTCGGGATCAAATCCACGACCTCCTGCGTACCAGGCGAGGTCGTTAACATCTCCTAGCCACCGTGATGATGATGAGAGAGAGGCACGCAAACTCTAAATATACAGCAGCAGGCGTCAGGGTCGGGATCAAATCCACGACCTCCTGCGTACCAGGCGAGGTCGTTAACATCTCCTAGCCACCGTGATGATGATGAGAGAGAGGCACGCAAACTCTAAATATACAGCAGCAGGCGTCAGGGTCGGGTTCGAATCCACGACCTCCTGCGTACCAGGCGAGGCCGTTAACATCTCCTAGCCACCGTGATGCTGATGAAAGAGAGAGACACGCAAACTCTAAATATACAGCAGCAGCAGCAGGCGTCAGGGTCGGGATCGAATCCACGACCTCCTGCGTACCAGGCGAGGTCGTTAACATCTCCTAGCCACCGTGATGATGATGATGAGAGAGAGACACGCAAACTCTAAATATACAGCAGCAGGCGTCAGGGTCGGGATCGAATCCACGACCTCCTGCGTACCAGGCGAGGTCGTTAACATCTCCTAGCCACCGTGATGATGATGATGAGAGAGAGACACGCAAACTCTAAATATACAGCAGCAGGCGTCAGGGTCGGGATCGAATCCACGACCTCCTGTGTACCAGGCGAGGTCGTTAACATCTCCTAGCCACCGTGGTGTCACAGTGACATTTAAACTTGGCGCTGAAATGCTGACGCGTCTTGAAGCGAGTTGCATTAAAAAATATAGGAAATCGCGTAACAAGCATGGAATCGGCGAGGTGGAGAAAGAGAGAGAAAACGTTGACCGCATGTCAATTATCATACGGTGCAGGAACCACGCCGTGGTGAAGTACGGTCGAACGATCTCCATGCGAGGCCTTCGCCCCGCGGCGGGTTGACACTGGGCTGCGTGCGACGGTCCTCTCAGCGGGCTCACTTGTCGTAGAGGATCATGGCGTCGTTCTGGGCCTCTTGCCCGTCGTACTGGCCGGCCTTCCCCGCCAGCTGGGCCTGGAAGTCGTGGGCCACGAGCCAGAACTGCAGCAACGCCGCCGCGTCCTCCTTCTCCATGAACTGCGAGGGAGCGACAGGTGGCGGCGCACCGAGCGACTCGGTTTTTAAACTAAACTTTGAAACGAATGTTTTAATCAAACCAGTGTTAAGGCCCACCGAGCTGTATAGCCACAAATGATAGCTCGACGAAGTGGCTTATCGCATGGAAATTTAAAGCAGCCAAATACTCTAAACGTGTGACAGAGAACATACAAACTCCAAATATACAACAGGCGTAAGGGTCGGGATCGAACCCGGGACCCTCGTGTATACCAGACGAGAGAATTAACATCCTCGCCACTGTGATGCCTAATCGACCTGGCCAGGGTTGGTTTCATGGGACACTAAACGCCGATGGTTTAGGTGTGGCTCGCCCCAGGCCACCCAGACCAATTCAAGGACGTCTAGATGCAGTGGAAACGTTGGGAGACTCATTCATCCAAACTAAGTCGTCCCAACTGAGAACACCGCCACGGAAGGCGGAGAGACATCGCAAGCCACCCATGTGGCTGCGTCCTTTCCTGCTGGATCTCTCCCTTCAGTGTCGTTTCCTGCACGTCATCTCTCATTCAATTACAAGGCCCATGCAGACATGCTTGCTTTCATCTGGCCCTCCGTCAACCACACACCGATAGGCTCTTCTGTTGCAACGTCACCTTCTCATTCCATCAACATACCAAAAAAACATTTTATTTTTCTTAAATCATCTTTCACGAAGGATCTCTCCTGCTATGGAGAAGGGTCACTCTGTTCGAAACGTCACCGATCACGGGCAACGTTGTACGTTTTGTTTTTTCGTTCACCGTCTGCCATAGCAGTACCGCAGAGCGTTTTGTTTTGTTCCAGACTGTTTTGTTCGCACCTCATGGACCCAGAACGATGATATCACCTTTACCGCTCCCCCTCTCTTTAAGACCGACACGGGATACATTTTCCACAATTCTGGCTTTCACGTGATAAGGCTGATTGTAATCACCGGCGAAACGTCGAATTCTAAACGTCGTGGGTTTACTCTCCAACACTAGCAACTAATTTTAATTTTTAGCTTACGAGAAATAACTTACTAATTGGCCGTGTTGGGCAGTGGGCAGGTTTAACGACCACATTTATATTTAAGCGATCTAACACAACAACAACAACAAATATTATGGAGTGTTTTGTTCCGTCAGGGGTCAGGCAAGGTTGGTGGACGTTCAACCGACGTTTCTCTCGGATCGTTGCACGCTCGGGGCCGGAGGCCGTGGCCGGTGGGCCGGGCCTGCCCACCTCCGAGAAGTAGAAGAGCGTGCCCTCGCTGGTGAGGATGTCGCCCAGACACACGGAGCCGCTCGTCAGCACCTCCATCTGGTAGCGGCAGAAGTGCGAGCTCTCCAGGAAGAGGGGGAAGAACCTGGCACGGGCAACGGGGGGTAGTGGCGAGATCGCATGCCGGCTCAACAACAGCCGTGCCAATGTGACGTCGCCACGGCCGGCTTGACCTTAACAGTGCAGGGATATGAAAGCCATGCGAGGCCACTCAGAATTCAGAATCTTTATTAATCCTGGAGAAATCCGATGAGCTGTGAAGCTCTTTTTCACCAATTGTCCAGGAGGGTCGGGTCAGAAAGTTACAACAATAGAAACGATACAAAAACATGATACGAGTGCAAAGTACAAGAGAGAGAAGCAAATCACTTCAATTAAATACATAAAATAAAAAGTTCAAATTGCATAAGTACACCAATTCCAGCAGCATCAGACGTCACCAAGACAACAGGCACTCACTGACAGGCACACAGCTTCTGTCATTGTAAGGGGCCCTTGCGGTTACGGCAGTGCCTGGGTGTGAGGCTAACAGTGTTGTTTCCAGGTCGATTCCCCTGCAATAAGCGGCTCAAGATGCTCGGGTTTGAGGTGGCAGGATCTCGCGTGGCCATGGGCCGTGTGAGAATAACCGACGTGTTCACGAGCTGCACAGCTTCATGTCCGACATGATGCCCGACGTTTTGCTCCACGTGCTGGGAGCTTTTTCGGGAACCGTGTTTAAGTTGGTAACAATTCCTGGAATTCAGATCCCGAAAAAACAATCTTCCGGCGCGCGGAGCGAAACGTCGGACGTCGTGTCCGAACGAACGTGCGGCGGCGGCAACTGAATAACCCGTCGGAGAGCTGTGCCCAGCGACACAACCGCGAAAACATCGCACCAACTCAATTCCCGGGCCACGTCCGGCCAGTGAGACCGGAGGAGGGCCCCCCCCCTGTACCCCTGGGTAAACGGAACGCGTCCCCGGGTGGTTGTGCACATCGGTTGGGGAGGCACTCACTGCGTCTCCAGCTCGTGAAAGACGAGCTCCTGCGCCGGCAGGAAACAGTTGGGGTCCACGTCCCCGTCCTCGCCGCAGATCTTGGCTGTGGGCGGCGGTGGTGGTGGCGACGAAGGAGGGTGTGGAGGAAGAGGGGAGGGAGGAAGAGGAGGAAGAGGTGGAGGAAGAGGAGGGAGGAAGAAGAAGAGGGGGAGGAGGAGTTGGAGGAAGAGGAGGGGGAGGAAGAGGAGGAAGAGGGGAGGGAGGAAGAGGAAGAGGAGGAAGAGGAGGGGGAGGGAGGAAGCGGAAGGGGAGGAAGCGGAAAAGGAGGAAGAGGAGGTGGAGGAGGTGGAGGAGGGGGAGGAAGAGGAGGAAGAGGAGGGGGAGGAGGTGGAGGAGGAAGAGGAGGTGTAGGAGGAAGAGGAAAAGGAGGAGGCACACACACACAGCGAGGCGCATGGTCTTTACGGTGGCGTCGTGAGCTACAGCGCACGCAGCCAGAACCGTGACCCGTGCCCGAAAGAGTCGCGGTTACGCGCATTTGCGCATGTGGATTTGTACAAGTGTGTGTGTGTGTGTTTCTGTGCGTAACTAGGATATGCAGAGCGGTGATTAGTCCACCGCGCGAGGAACCCTGCGACCCGAGTTCGATTCTCGCTCAAGGCCAACACCAGTGGTGATTATTTGAACCGTTCCTGGACCTTTCATTGGTCGACTCGGTCTCAAATGAGTACCTGGTGGCGGTGTGTAAACATCACCACTTGGGAGACTAAATGTGGCTAAGTGTGGTGCTGGCCTCGTGTGCCGTGCCGGCCTTCATAGGTGCTCGCTAACAGCACTTGCCCCAACAGTCGTTTCAGGCTATATATGGGGCATCTTTTTATTTGTGTGTGTAACATGGATATCGGCAGAGAAGAAACGGCATGCAATTTGAAAAGTTCGCAAAGCAGCACGGAAGGGGGTACATGCTTTGAATTAGGCGGCGTTAGGTGCTTGCTAGCAGCACTTGCCGCAGCAGTCTGTGTAGGCTACACGGGGGAGCTTTGTCTCTGCTGCTGTGCAAGGGCAAGTACCGATGATGAGGTTCCGCATGGCGTCGCTGATGGGCAGCGCCACCTCGGCATCCTGGGACACGAAGCGCGTGAACAGCTCCACCGCGTCCCGTTCTATACCTGCACGCATCGCCATCATCACCATCATCATCATAATATGATCATTTATGTTTGTTATACACAACACCATTTTCGTTCACTCACTCTCAGAGAGAGAATTATTCAAAAGGGGTGAGAATGGACAGGCCAGGCAGCAGCCCGAGCCTGCCCTGCCAACAATTATCCAAGCTCTGTGGTCCTATATTGGGATGTTTGACCAAAACATTCGTTGGTGTCATCATCACCACCATCACTCACCACCAATTCCCTCCTCGTCTCTGAATTCACGTTCGTCATCACCACCACCATCATCATCATCGACTATCATAATCACCGTCATGGCTGTTTTATATGTACACCACATTCACTGCCCATTTGTCAATCCACTGCTGGACGCCAGGCCTCCCAACGCGATACGGATAGCAAACGCTGTCTGAACATACTTCACCACACCTGGTCAGTGTGGGTCGGTGAAGGAGGGGAGCACAGATGGGGGAGTGTAATACACTACAACAACGGATGTTGGTGTACTGCCACCTGCCTCGCAGCCTATAACACCTGTTTTCTCTCTCTCACGACAGCTGTGGACCACACCGAACCGTGCTCGCACGCAGCACGGGAGGTGCGCGTCGTACCACGTTGTTCCATAAATTGAAAATCAAAGAATCGCCAATCTACGACCGTGGTAAAGCCAAAATTATCAAACGCATCATCGACGCACACCCTGGTGGTATCGCCGCAATCCATACAGCATCTACTGCCGCCTTGGATTGGTTGAAGGACCTTAACATTCAACGATGACATCTATACAAACTGTTACTTACATGGTATATGAAAGAAGATTCAGGGTAGTACCCCATCCAAGTGCTTTCTTGGCACAACCCCGCATGGCTTCCACATTTGGGGTGATTTAAATGAAAACCAATTTTTTTTTTTATCTTACCAGGTAAGGTTCACTGAGTGACCCGGTCACAAATGATAGCTCAACGACGTGGCTTACCATGTGGACATTTATAGCGGCCAAATACTCTGAATGCGTGATGTTGATTCGAAATGTGGAGGGAAAAACCGGAGCACCTGGAAAAAAATCCACGCTACCAAGGAGAGAACATGTAAACTCCAAATATACATCAGGCATCAGGGTCGTGATCGAACCCACGACCTTCTGCATACTAGGCGAGGGAGCTAACATCTCTGCATCGTGGCGCCCCCAATTATGGTCATAGCCAGTGCAATACCACGATCGTTGATCATTCCACGGTGAGCATGTACCATTTGCTTATCATTTAATGTTAAATTTATAGAGTTGAATATAGTGAAACAAAAATTTCCTTCAAAGTGTCTCCTAATCAAACAAGCGTTGGGGCGGGGGTGTTCATATCTCCGTAGGTGGCCCTGAGCCAATGGTGGAAATTCCAAAGTCCTATGACCGAGGCTAGTCTCTGCTCTGCAACCACCGCTGACTTCTTAGAAATTTGCCACATTGCCAAACGCTCTCACATTGCGACCACCCATGTGACATGTATGTTACATGTTCAGCGCTTTGCCAATCTACCGCTGGTTGAGAGTCTCGCCGTGCTGCGCGTTTTGTGGGATTCATTTGACCGTACTTCACCGCGCTGGCCGTATGGGTTGGTGAATGCATTTGTCACCCAGCTGCTTACGAACACCGCTAAAACTATTTAAATTCAAATTTACCACGCTGATTTCCGATGGCAAAAACGACATGCAGCGAACATTACCGTTTGAACGGTTTCAAATTATTCAGGTGGCGTCATCTTGAAATATCGGTGAAACGGCGAGTGTAGCGCATCCGCTTTTAAAAAATTAACCAGCAGCCCACACGTCATTTGTGCGTGACATCATCCTGTTCATCCGCCCGCCCGCCAAACTTTTTGTTCTTGGTTGGTGGTGGGGGCGGCAGGCGTGACGTCAACGCTACGCACAAATCCAGCTCAATACTGTGGGATGCAGGTGACATCACCACAGCGTACACGCTTAGCCGCGTGCCAGGCAGCCAGGCACGAACACAGCAAGGATTTTTTTTTTCGAATATCGTATGATATGAAGTGCCTGTCTTTCTCCATCTAGAGCCATCTCCATTGCCGACAAAATGTTTTATCTTGGCTCGATGACGTGATGAAACAGATCATGCTGTGAAAAATATAATCGGACTGCAAGAGTCGGAATAATAATACAAATAATAACCACAATCAGTAGGGCGAACATATTTCACGACCGCTGTGGTGACAGCAGCCTGCTTTGAGAGTTGCCAACAAGACGGCTTGGTTGGCATTAGGCACGGGAAAGCGTGCTGGTTACAAGCCATTTAACACCGACCCCCCACACCCTTCCCAAACCATTACCCCTGAATTCCTGGGTGTCAACGGAAGGATGATGTGACGCCGTTTACGATGATTTTCTATCATCAAACAACAAGACACGGCCCAGAGGATAGCGCGCCAGCCGCTCTGCCGCGGGAGGTTCGCGGTTTGAGCCACGTGGCTGCCGCCCCCCCCGCCCCCCCCCCCGGAGTGATACCGCAGAAGGGCGCTGTGGACGTTAAAGATTGAAATGGAGCAAAATGCAATCCGAGATCGAGGTGACAAGAGCCAGCCCCAGCACCGTCGTGCTGTGAATTAGAATTCTTAGCTTTGGAGGTGCGGCGAGATTCGTCCGTGAGCCACGGGCGGATTTGGTCACGGGCGCCGTTTCCCCGACTAACGTAACCGTGAACCCGCGCGACCCCAGCGCCAGGCCGCCGTGCGCCTCGCCACGCGTGACAACCGTTCCTGTTCCGAAAGTAGCGCATCATGGTACCACATGGCGAGCACGACCGCCGCTACTCACGGGAACCGGCAATTGCAGTGGGAGTGGGGGAGGGCAGAGGGGGAGGTGGGGGGAAGGCTGGACGTGAAAAAAGTTCGTCAGGGGGCCCCTCTATAAACATTAGGTAATGCTCATTGGTCCTTCTGAACCTGTGGTGGAATTCCACATTCATAAGGCAGGAGACAGTATCTCGAGAAGACAGTCACTGCTGGAGTGCAGACTTCCCCTGAGCAGCACGGTGAGCACAATGGCGCCCAGGGATTCATATCAGCCGGGTCTGTCCAGTTCGGCGATCCGGACAATATTTATATTTATGTAGGTGGCACACCGCATCCAGTAGACCGGTCGCTATGGCCGTGACTACGTGTCACGTGGGTACCTACACCAGTCTACCAGCGACCCGCTAAATAGCGAGAAACGAATCCCCGACAGCACCCCGCGGGCAGCGTACTTTTCATGAGCTTGTCGGAGATGGAGTCGCAGCCCTCGGCGGTCGCGCTCGGCAGCGCGAGCCCGTCGGGCACGGCCCTCGCCGGCCTCCTCCCCTCCTCCGCCCCATCCCTCCCGCACGCGTCCCCGCTCCGCACCCCCACGCCGCCGCCACCGTCGAGCAGCGACCGTCCGCGTCGCCTCGGGCGATCGGGCCCGGCGGCGCCGCCGCCGCCGCAGAACGGGCACGAGCGCGCCGACCCGCAGCCGCACAGCTCCCGCGGCGGCGCCGCCCTGACGTCGCCGGGACCCGCGGGCGGCGACGGCGCCGCCGGGCCTTCCCCGGCCGGGAAGTTTCTGCCCGCGGGCGACCGTTCGGTCGCCGTCGCGGCGAGGAGCGGCGAGGGTCGCCGGGAGGCCGGCGAGCCGCGGGCGGGAAGGGGCGAGGTCCGCGCGGCGAGCGAGCTCAGCTTGACGGCGTCGAGCGAGCGGGTGCGCACGCGCGCCCAGCTCTCCTGCCGGAACGCCTCCGCGTCCAGCCAGAAGCGCGCCAGGTGCAGCGCGCCGCGCGCCTCCAGGTCGAGGAGGAGGTGCGGCAGAGCGGCCGGGTCGCGCAGGGCCTCGCCCAGCGTGCGGCTCAGGCGGCAGCGGGGGCCGCCCTCCTCCTCGCCGGGGGAGGCGGCGGCGGCGGCGGCGGCGGCGGGCACGGCGCGCAGCGACGCGTGGCCTACGCCGTGGAGACGGAGCGGCGGGAACGACAGGACGACAACGAGCGAATTAGGGGGGGAAATGGTGCGGACGTACGCACGCGGATCAACGTCCTCCGACACGCGTTTGTACTCGGAGGCGTTTCGTTAGAGACGGCGGCTAATCCGTAGGCTCGTGGGGAGGCCACGGGGTGTGGATAGCCGGTCCGGGATGTCCGTTTAGCAGTGGGTTTTCATCACAAAGCTTCTCGTGGATCGGTTTTCAAGAGGGTTGGTCCCGAGCAGCAACACAACTTCACACTAAAATGTTCCTCGCCTTCCTGGGAGTTACCATGCCTCTCCACAATGTCCGTTGAAAAGTATTATAAATGTTTATAATTCGCGGCCACTGTGGGGTGCGGGGTTGTCTGACCACACCTCATCACATTTGTGAGTGGGGGCTGGTGAAGGAGAGACGGTTCTGACGTTAGCCGTAGCTGGGAATCGAACTCGGGATTATCAACACCGCCCCCCCAATAGGGAGGGACCATTCAATCAGAATCGGAATCCGATGAGCTCTTTGTCACAGCGGGGGCAGGTAAGAACATGACAGCAACAAGCAACACTGACGTTCAGACAAACGGATCGGCAAACACGGAATTTGTTCCGGACGAACGAACGAACGGACGGACGGAGCAACCTCCGCTGGCGAGCGTCAGGCCGCGGCCTCACCGAGGTCGCCAAAGTGCTGCGGCTCGGCGAGCGTGGGGGGCGGCCGCCGCAGGGCGCCGGTGCGCACCCCGGCGCCCTCCATGGCCCCCGAGATGGCGCTGAGCGCATCGCGGCTCGGCGGCGGCGGCGGCGTCTCGGCCCTCGCGTGATTCCTCGACGGCTGCCGGGCTGCGCGCACACGCGGAGAGGGCGGGGGGGGGCGGGGGTCTGGTCAGAGAGCGCCGACGACGCCTCTTCCGCTCCGGCCGTTTCGCGACGAGCGAGCGCGCACAAAGTGCTACCGCGACATCGAAACACCGAGCAGGTTCTGGTGGGGGGCATGGGGGGTTGGAACGAGCTGCCCCAGTTTACGCGTTTTTATCGACAAAACCCCCCTCCCCCTTCATTCCCACAAAGACAAAAGTGTTGCATTTGCAGCGCCGAACGTCGTTTCCATGTTCATGCGAGCAGGGCACCGCTTCGGCTCTTTAAAACGTCATGTGCACGCCCCTTCATGTCGTGAATAAGAAAGAACTGTCCGTACTTCGCAATCCAACTGTGGAACGCGTGATGCGACGCTACGCTGGTTACCGTAAGCACAGAGCTCAACGGGGACCGCACAGGCGTGTGACGATTACGCGCAGCGGGGAGATGCGTGGGTGTGGGGGGGGGTCCACAATGACCCCCCCCGCCACCCCCCTTATCCGTACGAGACGCTACATCCGCACGCGTTATTGCGAGGGGCCACTGTGTGATTAAACAAACACAAAAACAATAACTGGATTTCAGAACCCATTACCCGATGAAGGTCGGAGCAGTTTGACCGAAACGGCGTCGCACGCGAATGTTTAAATTCGGTCATGAAAAGTCTTCAGCCAGGAGCAGGAAGAGCAGGAGCTGTGTTGGTCAGAATTTCATCGGCACAGCGGCCACGAGTAAGGAGCAACTCTGCACACGTGACAATCTTGTCTGGCGGTGGAGGGCTAACAACGCCTCTGATTAGCACGGCTGGCTACGTACGGAGGGAAAGAAGCTTAACATATATACAAACAACACGATTTTTGGCACAAAACTACCATGTGGCCCAACCAAAAAAAAACAAATGAGGATCACTGCACCGGATATGAAAGAACATACGTTTTAAGTAAACCAAAACATTGCTAAGGAGGTCTAATGATGTAGATGCTCACCCCAAGCCCTCATTACTTTTATAGTGCATTGTCTTTGAGCTGTACGCCTTTTGGCGTCATCTGGTCGAGCACCAATTGGGTCGAGGCTCAAAAGAAAGCCGCCCCTTGGTGTGGACCAATCAGTTTCAAGGACAATGCATATGTTATCATAGTATGTTTTTTTTGTTTGCATTTTAACTGCAGGTATTGTGGTTAATGCAGATATGAATCCTTGTAAAAAGGTTTCAGTTTTGTTGCCAGAAAAAAAAGGGGAAAAACCCTATTATTATATTTTGGTACTGGCAAAAGAGGTCTAATGATGTAAAAAAATTGCTCTTGTTAAAAGAGACAGGTCAAACATTGCAAATCAGGAGCTGGTAACGCTGAGTCCTGAGACTCAATGAAGACTTCTTTGGGATTGCAGTGAATTGTTGTAGTTTGTACGATGAGAGGAAGCACACAGAACCGAGTTCAGGGGGCAATGCTCACCTGACCTTGCAGGGCTCCGAGTGGATAACACCTCCTTCCCCTTTCCCTTATCTGCGGCACAAACACATCATAACCATCACCACCATCATCAACATGATCATCATTCGCCTTTTGGTGTTCTCTGGTCTAACGCTGGTTAATGCAGACATGATTTCTTGCAAGTCTGGTGTTTGAACATCTTAATACCTGTTTTATTTCCAGAAAGGGTAAAACCTATTCTTATACAATGATCGTCATTGTCACTACATTCAACATCACCATCATTACCACTGCCATCACTAAAATCAACATCATCATCACTGCATTCAAAATCACTGTCACCATCACCACCAACACCATCAACGTAACCATCACCACCACCATCACTTTTTTGAACATCATCGTCATCATCAAACACACTGAACTATAACACTCAAATTATTTGGTGACGCTGCTGCGTTGGCAGTGGTGCAATGGGCAACAAAAAAATGTCAACACATTTGCCAATAAGAACACTGCCCGGTCTTAAAAGGAAAAATCTATATATTAGGAGATATTTCGGGCAACCGCCTTTCTCCAGAGGTTACTGCCCGAAACGTCTCCTGTTGTTTAAATATTTTTCCTTTTATGGCACCTCGGCGTTGCTGGCGAACGCGTCGGGTTTTGTAAAACAAGCAGCTCGTGTTTCCTCGTCGTGCGACGCTCGGGTTGGCCCGGACAGTCGACACGGACGCTCGACACGGACGGTCGGCACGGACGGTCGACACGGACGGTTGGCCCGGACGGTCGACACGGACGGTCGGCACGGACGGTCGACACGGACGGTCGACACGGACAGCCGACGTCAAGGGCCCCCCACACACAATCAGGAGAGGAGCGAGGTCCGGTGACCTCAGTGGCCACTGAAATATGGAGGAGTTCGCTCCCTGACCCCGGCAGAATCCACCCGTGTGGGGATACGTCACGTTTCAGCATCAGAATTATTTAATCTTTATTAGACTGGAAGACAAAGATCTCCCGTACAGCTTGAACAGACTGTTGGGGAAAGTGCTGTTAGTGTCACAGCACACGATGGGGTGGGTGGCCAACACCACGCCTGGCCGCCTTAGTCTCCCCAGTGGCGATGTTTACACACCTCACCAGGTACTCATTTGAGGAAGAGTCAACCTAGGGAAGGCCCAGGACTGGTTTAGATAATCGTCACCGGTGTTGGCCGTGGGCATAAATCGAACTCGGGTCGCCGGGTTCGTAGCGCAGCGTAGCGATAACCGCTACTACGCTACACGAAGCAACATACCGAAGCAACTGGCTCCTGACTTATGCCGCACGCTGTATCATCACATGACCGATGAACCGCCATCACGGGAACCTTTATCTTATTTCACGCTGTATGCCTGTACCACCGACACAGCCGTGTTTGATGTTTGTACGTACTCTACGTTGAACTTCTTTGGCGCCGTACGTAGCCAACCTTGTTAACCGTAGGGTGTGGGGAAGTACGGAAAATTAAACACAAAAAGCGGTTCTAGAGAAAACGAAAGGCAAAAAACGCGACACAAGTGCTTCCTGAGAACGCGCGCAGCGTCCATGCGTCCAACGTTGTACGTCAAGATTGTTTTGCCTACATTACGCGTGAAACATTTAACTGTTTGTGTGTGCGCACAGTGGTTAGCGCCACTGTGTTACGATGAACCCGGCAAACCCGAGTTTGATTCCCACTCACGGTCGACACCAGTAACGATGAGCTTTAATCGGTCATGGGCTTCCCCTAGGTCGACTCAGCCTCAAATGAGTAACTGGTTCAGTGTGTAAACATCGTCTACTAGGGAGAAAAAGACAGCTGGGCGTGCTGCTGGCCACCCACACCGTTTGAGTGCTGTGCTGGCCTTCATAGGTGCTCGCTAACAGCACTTGCTCCTACACTCTGTTCAGGCAATAGGCGGCTCTTTGTATTTGTTGGCCATACACATGCAAGGCACCCCGCATTTATCACTTCCTTCCAAAGCAGAGACACACACCTGTGTACATATGAAACAGTGCTAGACAGCGGATACTATTCACATCGAAATGTCTCTACGGAGGCACCCAGAGGGAGAATGTCTCCACTGAACACAGAGGGGGAGTGGAACTCCATCTGGGTTGTGAAACAAGAAAGTAAACAACAAAGTATCCAACAGAGCCCAAGGGGTTCAATGTCCCCTACTGAGCCAAGGAAAGCACCCTCCTATTTAGCCCAGGGGGCCTCCCACTGAGACGAGGAGAGTTTGAACAAATGTTTGAATGGATGACCAAATGTAATAATGATTGACCAGCACCAGCTTATGTGTCACCAAACACCACAGGATCTGGCACTTAGCCGCCTCAAATGAAGGCAATAATTGACGTCGCCCAAGACGAGTCACCCGCGTGGATTCAGGTACAGTGCCATCTCTCAAGGCAGTTAAACATCTTCGCCACCGTAGCGCCCTTTCAAGGCACGCCGTGACTATAAAAAGCGGTGACTTTCCAGGAGAGGTGATGGACCCGCGAGATCTTGCGCAACCTTCACGGCACGCCCGATGGGTGTTTGCAGCAATGCCATGCGGGATGAAATCGAAAAAGTGATTTTGGTTGCGGTCTGCGGCACACCCACGCAAATTCCGTAACGCAAAGACATACAAAATAAAGGCAAGTTGCCGGCTGTGTGTGGGTCCACGTACGGCCCTTTGTCAATGCGATGCTAGGTGAGGCCCCCCCTCCCCCCCATGCTGTGGGGGTTTTTTGGGCCATACAGAATTTCACCCCGACTAGTCAGTGCGGGTCGGTGAAGGCAGGCAAGCGATGAGTGAACATAGAAGTACGGTACAACGGCGGGGTGTTGCTGCACTGCCGTCCCGCTGTACTCCGAGAAGTCCCGCAGCCAACAACACGTCCTGTGCGTCCAGCGAGTTCACCCATCCAACTGCTATCCGGGCTTAATCCTGCTTACGATAAATGTGCGTTCTCTGCGATTTGGTCATCAGCCGCTGGTGCGGCTATTTGGTAATAAATAACAGCTGCTCTACTTGGAGGGTCACAGGACAGAGCTCTGTGGCAACAAAACCAGGCCCGGCGTGTTGCAGGTGGCGTGTAGCAGGTGGCAGGTGGCGTGTTGCAGGTAGCGTGTTGCAGGTGGCGTGTGGCAGGTGGCGTGTGGCAGGTGGCGTGTGGCAGGTGGCGTGTTGCAGGTGGCGTGTTGCAGGTGGCGTTTGGCAGGTGGCGTGTGGCAGGTGGCGTGTGGCAGGTGGCGTGTTGCAGGTGGCGTGTTGCAGGTGGCGTGTGGCAGGTGGCGTGTTGCAGGTGGCGTGTGGCAGGTGGCGTGTGGCATGTGGCGTGTTGCAGGTGACGTGTGGCAGGTGGCGTGTGGCAGGTGGCGTGTGGCAGGTGGCGTGTTGCAGGTGGCGTGTGGTAGGTGGCGTGTTGCAGGTGGCGTGTTGCAGGTGGCGTGTGGCAGGTGACGTGTTGCAGGTGGCGTGTGGCAGATGGCGTGTTGCAGGTGGCGTGTGGCAGGTGGCGTGTTGCAGGTGGCGTGTGGCAGGTGGCGTGTGGCCGGTGGCGTGTTGCAGGTGGCGTGTGGCAGGTGGCATGTTGCAGGTGGCGTGTGGCAGGTGGCGTGTTGCAGGTGGCGTGTGGCAGGTGGCGTGTAGCAGGTGACAGCACCTGCGATAAAACGGAGTGCGCTATTAATGAGCGCCGATTAATGCCGGTGCAGCAAGCAAGGTGGCGAGTGCGACTGTGACCACAGGATCAGCTGGAGGCAGTCGCCCTCCAACAACAACGGAGGGCAGAGGAGCGACGCTCACAACAACGAGTGGAGCGCTGGGTGGCTGAAATACAAGTTGGCATAGTAGGGTGCACAGCTGGCGTATCTGCCAGTCATTTCAGTCGGTCAACCCATGACACCTGGGTCTGTCCCGTGACCTGTCAGCGAGCCTTCGACACTTCACGTGGCCTCAAAGTGCACCTGGCCTGGCACAGACGCTGTGGTGACATCACCATCACTTAGTGGCGAATGTCGGGTATTGGTATAGAATCAGTCCTACTCACCGTGCATGGCATGCCACGTGACACCACGGGCTTGTACGATGCACAAAGCCGTTTGTTTACCTCGCAGACTGTAGTGAAGTATGGCGACTTCACACGACCTGCGAGGCATGATGGCAGGACCAATCATATGGTCGCCATCGTGCCTTGTGCAATCGGTACTATTCTTCCTTGTTTCCAGGCTGCACTCGTTTTTCCGTTTGTTGATTTTTCCTTCTCATCATGAACAGAAAGCGATCGCACTGGTTTAAGCGATCGCACTGGTGGATGGGTCACGCACGCCCGGTCCCATTCGTCTCTCCCAGACCTGTACGCATGTACGTTGAACTTCTTTCGCACCATACTTAGCCAACCATGCTAATCGGAGGCGTTACCGTACGCAGCCAACCGTGCCAATTGGAGGTGCGCTAATCTTTTTGGAGGATCTGACCCGGTGGATGCCCAAAGCCCAACTCTGATAACCAACTTTAGGCAGTGTGCGTGACCAAGCGCAGGAGCCATGCTGTTGCTGGAATCGCAGTGCCATGCGTTTGTCACTTCATCACCGCCGGCTCCTCGCATAGCCTCACAGGAGCAAATGTGTCCACACGAGGGGGTAAGGAGGGAATGGGGTCAAATGTGTTTGACTGTAAATAAACAAGTTACGAAAAAAAGCAATCACATGTATGTAGCCCACCTTGCTTATCAGAGGTGCGGGGGAGGGACAACAAACACGTGTTTGTCTTAGGAATGATTTATCAGTAAGAAAGTTGAAGGATTGGGTAGCTGTCGGATAAAACGTCTTTGCATAAAGTATTTATAAACAGTACTTTCTGCTGTGGTTTGTGTCTTCACGTTTTGGCAACCGTTTCATGAATTTGACTGGTATTCTATCAGATAATTCACTAAATAGCAAAACTTTATTCCCAAGTTACATAGTCACCCCACCCACGTGAGGGGCTGACAGGACAGAGCCTAATGCCTGCACACAATCAACCTGAGCTTGAGAGGATAATCATTGGAAGGTACCGTGGGGAATTTGGTCCATGATGGTGGGCGAGAAGATGACCTTTGTCATGCTTTGTCATGCTCGCGTGACAAAGGTGCACGCACACACGTGCACGCAGCCACTGTAACCAGCCTGCAACAATGTATCATTCATTTTGAGAACACGGTCATCACGTCCACTAATCACACGCTTAACAATAACATTGGTTTCACTGACATGGCCAACTCGGACATACCTTCGTTGAAAATACGAATAACCCCACAGGCCTTCACATTCTCTTACTAGTACTAAACTATATCTGATCAGGTAAGGCCCATTGAGGTATATGGCTCTTTTTCAGAAGCGACCTGGCCACAAATGATAGCTCAATGAAGTGGCTTATCACGTGGAAATGTATAGGAGCAGCTAAATACTCTAAACGCATGTTTCTGAAGGTAAGGGGAAAAATCGGAGGACCCGGAGACCATGGTGAGACCATGCAAACTCCAAATATACAGGCGTCGGGGTCGAGATGGAAGCCACGACCTCCTGCATACCAGGCGAGATAGTTAACATTTCGCCACCGTACAGTAACGCACACAGCATTGTGTGGGCAGTGGCATGGTTATTGAGTGCGGAACTAAATGCACCGTGGTCCACGGAATGGAGGGGAATGCAGGCGCCGGGCTACGAAGAGTGAAAGAGGGGGCAGAAATGTGTACAGAGACCCTCCCCCCCCCACCGACCATCAATGAATTTCTTGTACCAGGCCACGTGCCTGCAACCACGCCATTGTGTTGTTGTGGGCCTGCCCCACACCACGTGGTAGTCGTACACACCATGTTGCTTATCATGTTCTGAGAATGGGTCCACATTCAAATGAGCGAGCAGGTGTCGCGATTACAATAATGAATTTGTTCCCTATCCCCACGACAGGTAGGGAATGGGCCATCTGCCGTGGGGATAGGGAACAGGGTGTTTGGGCGATGGTTATAAAAACTGTCAATAGGCATTAGTCGCCGGTTTGAGGAGAGGCATTTTCCTGTGATTCGTGTTAAGCGATACGATTCGTGAATAGGATGAATGACTGTGAGACTCTCGTGGTGGTGGTAGAGTTTTGTGGGCTTTACCTGGTAAGACACAAAGTTTAGTTTTATTTGTATGTCTTTAACAGCGATTTGTTTACCTTTCATATACTTTTCAGTCCTATCGTGTTTTTGTATTATTTGTTGTTGTAACGTTCTGACCCGTCCGAACTTGGTATCTGTGAAAAAGGGCTTTATAGAGCAGTATAAATTCTGTGTTATGTAGGAGGTGATCATATATATTATACAGTAGTCAAGGAATAGGGTTATGAGTAATCATTCCGATGGGGTAGTGATGTAAATACTGCTGCTAGGTACGGGTTTAGCAGTGGGGTTAATGTGTTAAGTTTAAGGTTAGTGTGTTATATGTTCAGACGTGGGCTAGGTTAGAATGGGGTTAACTATTGGGTTAACAAAGGGGTCAGCGCCAGGTATTAATCTTAGGGGTACAATTGGATATATTCTTGGGGTTATGCTAATGTTATGGTTTGAATTAGTATTAGGTATAAGGTTAGCGTTTTAAAGTTAGTGTTAGGGATGGCCCGAGGCTGGGATAAGGTTGGTATAATATGTTACCATTTGGGACCAGGGGTAGCAATGGAGACATTAATATTGGTACAGTGTTAGAGACGGTAATATTGGTACAGTGTGACAGCAGTATTGGTACAGTACCAGAAACAGTAGTATCGGTAGTGTTAGATATAGTGTTATTGGTACAGTGTTGGTACAGTATTATTGGTGCAGTATTATTGGTAGTGTTAGACAGTATTATTGATAGTTGTACAGTATTATTGGTACAGTATTAGGCAGCAATATTGGTAGTATTAAGACGGGAATATTGGTGGTTAGGCAGTATTATTGGTACAGTGTTAGACAGTATTGTTGATAGTGTTAGATACATTATCATTGGTGCAGTGTTGGACAGTATTATTGGCAAGGTGCTAGATACAGTAGTATTGATACAGTATTATTGGTAGTGTTAGATACAGTAGAATTGATACAGTATTATTGGTACAGTGTTAGATACAGTAGTATTAATAGTCTTATTGGTGCATCATTTTTGGTACAGTATTAGAGACTGTTACTGGTAGTGTTGGACAGTAATAGTGGTAGTTTTATTGGTAGTGTTAGGCAGGAATATTTGTACAGTGTTAGGTCGTATTATTGGTAGTGTTAAACAGTATTATAGGTAGTGTTAGACAGTATTATTGGTACAGTGTTAGACAGTATTATTGATAAAGTGTTAGTATTATTGATAGTGTTAGACAGTATTATTGATAGTGTTAGACAGTTTAATAGGTACAGTGTTAGACAGTAATATTGGTACAGTGTTAGTATTATTGATAGTGTTAGACAGTATTATTGAGTGTTCGACAGTATTATTGGTACAGTGTTAGACAGTAATATTGGTACAGTGTTAGACAGTATAATAGGTACAGTGTTAGTATTATTGGTAGTGTTAGACAGTAATATTGGTACAGTGTTAGACAGTATAATAGGTACAGTGTTAGACAGTATAATAGGTACAGTGTTAGACAGTATAATAGGTACTGTGTTAGACAGTCTAATAGGTACAGTGTTAGACAGTATAATAGATACAGTGTTAGACAGTATTATTGGTACTGTGTTAGTATTATTGGTACAGGGTTAGACAGTCTAATATGTACTGTGTTAGTATAATAGGTACTGTGTTAGACTGTATAATAGGTACTGTGTTAGACAGTATTATTGGTACTGTGTTAGTATTATTGGTACAGCGTTAGACAGTCTAATAGGTACTGTGTTAGACAGTCTAATAGGTACTGTGTTAGACAGCCTAATAGGTACAGTGTTAGACAGTATAATAGGTACAGTGTTAGACAGTATTATTGGTACTGTGTTAGTTTTATTGGTACAGTGTTAGACAGTCTAATAGGTAGTGTTAGACAGTATAATAGGTGCTGTGTTAGACAGTATAATAGGTACAGTGTTAGACAGTATTATTGGTACAGTGTTAGTATTATTGGTACTGTGCTAGTATTATTGGTACAGTGTTAGTATTATTGGTAGTGTTAGTATTATTGGTACTGTGTTAGTATTATTGGTAGTGTTAGACAGTATAATAGGTACAGTGTAAGACAGTATTATTGGTAGTGTTAGTATTATTGGTACTGTGTTAGTATTATTGGTACTGTGTTAGTATTATTGGTACAGTGCTAGAGGCGGGCTTAGGCCAACGTCAACATTTTGCGTCTCAAACTCTCCACCACGAATCGTCTCCCGCCACTCGGCCCATTGATTCTCGCGCCGCCGTCGGCTCGTTGTTAATCAACGCCGCGCTTCTAACAAACAAACAAACACCGCCCTCCAGCCCTAACAACAACAACAAACATTAAAACGAACGCGGGACGTTAACAGACTTCGAGTTGACGGCGGCGGCGTCGTCGGCGTCGTTCCCGACCGCACTCAAAGCGGCAGTTTATGGGACTTTGGAACCCGCGATTCCGTGGATCATCTCCCTGCAACCCCACCACCCAGCGCGGCCACGTCGCAATGAATCACGAAACGCCTTCATTGTTATAACGACGAATTGTCACAACCCGCCACCACCTCCGCCTTGCCCGTCGTCGCTTTGCTAAAGCGGCGCAAAGTGACTGCACCGGCGGCCCCCCGCGCGCGAGGCCGCGCCTCGGAGCCTCGGCCTCGCCTGGAAGGTTCCCCACCACCACCACCTCCACCCCCGGGGGGAGAGAGAGGGGGGGGGGGTGCCTCACCTCTGGACATGCGCTTGATGATGAACGACATCTCTGAGGGCTGTCGTTGTTCAGCCCACGACGACGACGACGACAAAGAGGAGGTGGTGGTGGTGGTGGTTGTTGACGAGGCGGGTGAGGACTGCGGGACGTGCAGCCGTGTCGGCTCGGGTGCCCATGACCGGCTCCGTGACCCACCCCGCCACTCTCTCTGTCTCTCACTTCCTCCTATCCCCCGGCGAAGATGAGGCAGGAGGAGGAGGGGGGATGATGAGGATGATGATGATACGAGGAGATGTGAGGACAGACGAGGTGATAGTGATGATGAGATGATGAGAGATGAAGTGAAGGAGGCCTCCCTCACGCGAGTAGCGCTCACCCCGCTCAGCAGAGGGGGGAGGAGGGGGAGGGGATTTTCACTTCCTTCACTTGACAATTAAAATTAAATACATTAAAACGATCCTTCTCAATTACTGGGTCTTGTCCCGAATAAAATTGTCCCGGTTTTAAAACAAGTGCGGTTTATTCACGAAGGAAGAAAAATGAATGGTTTTAGTGAGGCACAGCATGGATATAATACACTCACTATATTGTACACAATTAATACTCAACATATTCTGGGTATTCAATTGGTTATTTATATTTACGAGGAATTGCTGAATTAAGAATAATAAATTAACGCATATTGCATGCACACAGTTGCGTCCTAATTGCGGCTAATTTGTGGAAACAGAAACTGCAGTAAAAAGACAAAAAAATACAATGTTTTAGATTTTGCAACAGTTGCAAAATATCGCGATGATGGTGTCGACGTGGCGTCTCAGAGGAGATGAATCCATTCGGAAATCTCGCAGGGCAGTGGGCAGCCCCCCCCCCGCTGCGTTCGAGAACGACCCGCGGAAGTGGATGTCACAGAGCTACCTCTGAAACCACTTTGTTGAATAAGCGACCTCTGGTTCACACAGCGGGGATTCAGGCACCCACCCACCGACAGTAATGTTCACCCGGCGATGATCAAACCGATTCGTATTACCCTCCCCACCCCTACACTCGAGAGTTTCCCACGCAGCAGTGGCATGAGCGAGAAATTGCAGGAGCTACGCCGTTACCTTTAACTTGCTATCAAGGGGCATGGGCCCTGGGTTTGATGAGACAGCCGCAACGCTGTCGAGGCAATCCGTGTCAATCCAGAGGACGCACTTTGCCGTGGGACCTCTGAAACCCCAATGGGAGAAAGAGACCGAAATCGTTTCACAAGTCCAGGAGGCCTCGTGACCAACTGTGGGGATATATTCAAAGTTCTCCGATGTGTGTCCCCGGATTGCACCACCACCACCAACCACCAACCACGTGTTGTTCGGCACGGTGTCCGACGTTTCGCTCCCACGTGTTGAGAGGTCTCCACGTGATGAGCCACTTCGTTGAGCTATCGTTTATGAACAGGTCGCTTCTGAAAAAGAGCCACATAGCTCAGTGGGCTTCACCTGATAAGATAAAATAAAGTTTAGTTAACATTTAATTTGGTTATTTTTAGTGATTTGTTTACCTTTCCTATGCTTTGCACTCGTATCGTGGTTTTGCATTGTTTGTCGTAACGTTCTGACCCGCCTCTACTGGACATCAGTGAAGAAGAGCTTTATAGCTCATCGGATTTCTCCAGGACAAATACAGATTCTGACTACCCAAGTGAGCTGTGGTCAAATACTCCCCTCCACACGCCAGCACGGCCTGCGGAGGCCCTCATCCAGCAGTGGATTGACTGACAAAAGAAACACGTGCTTAACAATAACATTGGCACACGTATTCTGTATCTGGAATAAAATGTGCAATTCGGTCATATTTGCTCACATTTATTCTCACGGTGACCTCAGACAAGATGACCACAATGTAGTTCTTCAGCAACTGTTGATGGTTTTTTCAAAATGCACAAAGGCTGAGCGCTTTTTTGTACACATTTCTGCGTGTATGTTTCTGTTACGATGGGGTTGTCTTGCCGAATATAAAGCTTTGTCTATACTCCCCAACAATGCATAATTACACACAAAGTAGCAATCATTACACACAAAGTGCGTTTGTCACAAATGAACCACAATACAATGCTGATTTTTTTTCAAGGAGCATAAACCATCACGAGAACTGAGGTCATCCTCGCAGCAGCAGCGGCTTCTGGCTGCTAACCATCAAACAAAGACGGTGGTCATCGCATCGCGCGCTTTCAGGTGCGCTTCTGCGGCCGTCTGGAACGCTCTTCCTTCCGATATTAGGAAACCACTGGAGCTATGTGCACTTTTAAATAATCTGCGTTGAAAACGAATTTCTTTCGAACTGCTTTTTGTGTTTAGTTTGTTGTCCTTTCCCCCGCACCTTCAATTAGCACAGTTGGCTACGTACGGCACGAAAGATATTCTTGGTTCTTTCGGTAAAGTCACGTAGAAGGGAAACAATAAAATAATACAAATATAAAAAATAAAATTCTCACGACGTTTCGACTGCAACACAAGCAATCATCATCAGGTGTGAAAACCACAACAAGAAAATTTGAAAAAAGTGGCGGGTTTTTTTTACGTTAGCACCACGGAGAGCGATTTGGCAGTTTGTTCAGATGGACGCGTCCATCTATGTTCGGAAAAGAGGAGGGGGGAGACGAAAATAATGGATGCGGTCTGAAAGCCACCTTAAGCGTGATCAATCAATTAAGACCTGAAATGGTTTATCAAATCCTTCCATTGATTGCTAAGCCAGAATCCATCTTCTCGGTTGAAATTGTCTCTGTGTTTGTATATGTGGATAGCCTCATGAACGAATCTCTCATGGTAGCCAGATGGCTTGCAGATGACCTCTGTCTTGGAGAAGTCAATGTCATGTGAGCCTACTGAATTATAACAGTGATCTGGCACGGCCGAAGTGTTGGTCCTACCGTGTTTTAGGTCTGCTTTGTGTTCACGGATGCGGTCCGAGACATGTCGTTTGGTTTCTCCAATGTAACTACTACCACAGAGGCAACTTAGTTTGTAGACGCCAGGGTACTGTATGTCACATCTTTTACAGACGGAACCAGATCACGGATTTTATGTAATGTGTTAAATCGGACCTGGATCTTGTGTTTATTCAAGATTTTGGAGATATTTTTTGTGATCCCCGCAATGTAGGGTAAAGTGATGGTTTTGAATGGCTCCTCAAGAGGGTCCTTCTTCATGGTTGGAGTGATAGCTTTGCGGATTGTGTAGTCGGAGTAACCATTAGCCTTAAGAGCTTGGTGTATGTGCTTGAGTTCACTGGCTATGTGTTCCTGGTCGGATATGCATTGGGCTCTATGGTGCAGAGTCTTGATGAGGGAATTCTGCTGGGATGGATGGTGGTGGGAATCCGGTTTCAGGTAAGCATCCATATGGGTAGCTTTCCTGTAGACAGAGTGGCTCATTGAACCATCAGGTCTCTTTTGTATTAGGACATCCAAAAAAGGTAGCTTGCCATCTTTTTCGACTTCCATGGTAAATCTGATGGCTGGGTGTATGGAATTGATGTGGTCGAGGAATTGGTCTAGAGCAGGCCGGCCATGTGGCCAGATGACAAATGGTCATCCACGTACCTCTTCCATAAGGTTGGGCGCAGAGTGGCAGTCTGGATGGCGTCAGTCTCAAATTTCTCCATGAAAATGTTGGCTACAACCGGAGATAGGGGGGAGCCCATTGGGGTGCCCTCAGTTTGTTTGTAGAAAGTTCCATTCCAAGTGAAGTATGTATTGGTTAAGCAGTGTCTCACCAGGGGGGTACCTCAGTGTTTAGTCCTTGATGAACCAAGTCTTCAATGATTGCGATGATGTCAGGTACAGGGACTTCGGTGATTAAGGAAAATACATCAAACTGACAAGCAGGTCGTCTGGGGACAGGGAAATACCCTTGATTGCCGATATCAGGTGAGTAGAATTTTGTACCGCAGAGGTGGTTTTTCCAGTGAAAGGCCGCAGGATTTCAGACAGAAAATGAGCCAGTTTGTAGGTGGGGGAGTTGATGGTAGAGACGATGGGACGAAGGGGTGTATCTACTTTATGTATTTTTGGTAAGCCGTATAATCTTGGTGGCCTGGCAGCAAAGGTTTCAATGAGAACTGTTTGGTTTGATCAATTAATGCGGTTGAATCAGAAATGATTTTGTTGGTTTGTATGACGAGGCTGTTGGTGGGATCTCTTTTATTTTTTTTTGTGTAGCTGCCATCGTTGAGTAAGTCTTGAATTTTGTTGTTATATTATATTTTATCCATGATGACAGTGTCGGCTGAGAGGATGACAATGTCATCCCTCTTTTTTAACTTATATAATTCAAAACGCTCATCTTTGCTGAGGTTGCTAGCTGGCATCTTAGCGTTTTTGAGGGTTGCAGCGATTTCAGATCTTGCTACGTCTGCAGCGATGTGACCCACCAGGCCCTTGAGAGCCACGTCTACTTGGGCAATGATATCATTAACTGATATGTGTTTAGGTGTGACTGCAAAGTTTAGCCCTTTAGCTAAAACGAATTTCAGACTAAAGATGTTCAACATACGTTCGTCAATAACACATTATATACTTTTCTGGTCAACAATCCTTATTTACGGCACACAGGTTAATATCGGATTTTTTTTTAAAATCACAACGCTGGTTATCGTTCATAGTTGTCCAGCAGAGGGCGCAGGATGACATGTAACGTCTCTGTGGATACCCGAATCGATATGTCGTCTTTAGTTTGAGCTGCGTCTGTCCTGCTAGGCGACCTGACAATGCGAAAATGCGTCATCACACGGCACACCACATCCAGAATACATCTCGCTATGGCTGTGGCTACTACTCACCTGCCACCTACACGAGTCGACCAGCGACTCGAAAAATATCCAGTGGGATATGAAGCCACGTAGGCATTAATAACGAGAAAACTTGTGATGCACAATTCTTATATTTTAAAAACATATATGTTGCAAAGTTGTCTTGATTTGATGTTGGTATTAGCAGACGTTCATTAAGCAGCCTTAGGTACAAACCATTTTATAGATGCATGGTTGGAATTACACCGAGAGACAGCAAGAGGAGCACGTGGATATACGAACAATAACAACAGCTGCCATTCGCCACTAAGTGACTGTGGCGTCACCACGGCGCCTGTGCCAGGCTAGGTGGATTTTAAGTCCACGTGAAGTGTCGAAGGCTCGCTGACAGGAGGTCACGGGACAGACCCAGCAGGCGCCATGCGTTGACTGACTGAGATGACTGGCAGATGCACACCAGCTGTGCCCGCTACTGTGCCAACTTGCTGCATTTTATCTACCCGGCGTTCTGCTCGTTGTTGTGAGCATCGCTCCTCTGCCGTCCGTTGTTGTTGGAGGGCGACTGCCCCCAACTGCTCAGTAGCGTCCTTCACGAGCCTCTTCCACAGATCACAGAATACACGCATATAGCAAGAGACATCAGTGAGTAAAACTACGGAAGGTTATTTTCCTGGGCCAATATATCGCGAGTCGGGGTG